ACTGAGGAGACCAGAATTCAGATCTTACCTGAAAGCCAAGCAAACATGGTAGCCTTCCTGTAATCCTATCACTAAGAAACTGGGTATCCTCAGAGCAATCTGGCTAGCTAAATGAGATAATCTGTAAGCTCTTGGTCTATCAGAGGCCCATCTCAGTAAATAAAGTAGAGAGTCTCATTATCAAGATACCTGTTGTCACCGGGCAGTGGTGGCACACGCCTTTAATCCCAGCACTTGGAAGGCAGAGGCAGGCGTATCTCTGTGAGTTCAAGGTCAGCCTGGGCTACAGAGTGAGTTCCAGGAAAGGCTAGCAATGCTACACAGAGAAACCCTGTCTCGAAGAAACAAAACAAAAAACAAAAACAACAACAAAAGATACCTGTTCTTAGTCAGCCTCTGGTTTTGACACATAGCAGTACACATGCACAGACTAGTACCCATATACATGTGAAAATACAGATACATCATGCCACATATAAATGTAATAATATGTTTTATTATATTAATTATATAATAATATTATATACATGAAATAATAATTATTACATGTATATGTGGCATGCATATGCATTATTATTATTATTTCTGGAGTCCATATGACTTAAATGCAAAATTTATGAATGCCAATGGATTAGATAGCTAGCTAGCTAGCTAGCTAGATAGATAGATAGATAGACAGATAGATGATAGATAGGTAGATAGATAGATAGACAGATAGATGATACATAGGTAGGTAGATAGATAGACAGACAGACAGACAGACAGATAGATAGATAGATAGGTTGATAGATAGATGATAGAAAGTGTCTTACTTTTCTATTGCTCTGATTAATTGCCATAACCAAGGTAACTTAGAATGGAAAGTATTTAAATGGGCTTATAGTTTCAGAAGATTAGAGTTCATGATGTTATGCATGGTGGTAGCAACAGCTGATAGTTTACATATTGATCCCCAAGTAGGAGGTCATGAAAGCTAACTAAAAGGAATGAATCTTTAAAAACCTCCAATCCCACCCCTAGTGACATACTTACTCTAGCAAGGGCACACCTCCTAATCCTCCACAACCAGACACCAGCCAGAGACCAAGTACCTATAGAGGCCATTCTCATTCAAACATTCACTTTCCCTTCTCTGGCTTGCATAGACCTGTGGCCATATCATAATGCAATATGCATCTAGTCCAAACTCAAAAGTCTTCACACATCTGTCTCAACAGTATCTAAAAGTACATCAAGGCAATTTCTTGTTACTCCTTGGACATTAAAAAGCAAATTACATACTTCCAACATGCAATGGCACATAATAAACATTATCACTTCAAAAGGAAGGAAGAGCAGCATAGTGAGGAAATACTGGATTAAAGCAAGACCAAAGCTCAAGGCAAATACCAGTTCCTGCAGCTCCATGTCCAAAGTCAAAGGGCTTAGATCACTCTGCCCTTCCAGCTTTGCTGCCAAAAACACACTTCTGTCTTTTGGGCTCTTTCTACTTGTATTCTGCTCTGCTTAGCAGATATCGTAAGGCTCTGACATCTCTAACATATTGGAGTCTCCAACACATCCTAGGTTTCACTTTCACAGTTTCATGCAATGGCTTCTCCAGGACCTTTATTTTCTCAGGGCCTTCATTCAGGGACTGCCCTGCAACACATGGCCTGGCCTCAGAGGTGCTCCTAAACTGTGGAGGAAGGCTCTACAATCTGTGTATCCTTGACGACTCTGAAGCCAGAACCAAAGAGAGAATGCTGTCAAGTTGGTATTCTGGCTTGGAATGAGCCCCCTTGAATCACATTTGTAAAAGCTTTTCTTTGTTGTAGTTTCTAGGAATTTAGAAAATCCCTTAGGCCTTTTCCTTTCACAAGTTGAAAGTTTCCTGGGTGGGGTTTCGCCCTGAGAGCTCTCACTCCTCCCTTTATTCCATTCTGTATACGGCTTCTCCTTAACCTCATCTCTTTTGGCCCAAGCCTTGGCTCCAATATTAATCCCTAATTCTCTTTTCTTCTTCAAATGGTACATTTTGTGTTTCTTTTTGTCTTACTTGTTCATTTTCATTGTAGATCTGTATATGAGTGATTACTAATAACCATGTGACAGAGTCAGCATTAGGCTGTCTTGAAATTTCCACCAAAAAAATTAGTTCATTGATTTTTAATTTAACCCCAGGCAAATTCTTAGGACAAAGGCAGAATAACTACATTCTTTACACTCTTGCCCAGCTGCTGTTGAAGTCCTTACTTCCCTCTGAAGGCCCTGGAGTGGGGCTTCCACAGTCCATAGTTCTTATTGCTGTCCTCCAGGCTCCTAATAGGCAGCCCATCAAGCCCTGTTTATAGCACTCAACATCTTTTCTATTCTGAAGTACCAAAGTCTTTCACAGTCATCCAGAAAATTACAAGGTCACAGCAACCCTGTACCAACTTCTTAGCTATTTTTCTATTTCTGTGGTAAAACACCATGATCAAGGTAACTTATAAAAGTTTAATTGAATTGACAACTTCAGAGCATTAGAGTCCTTGATGGTGGAGCAAAAGCATGGTGGCAGGAGTTCACATATCCACAAGGAGGAGGCCAAGAGAGCTATCTCAAAAGGGTATGAGTCTTTTGAAACTTCAAAGCTCACCCCAAATGACAAACCTCCTCCACCAAGGACACTCCTCTGACACTAACTGGAAACCAAGTATTCAAACTTTTCAGCCTGTTGGGGCCATTCTTGTTCAAACCACCACAGACAGCCAAACAAAGTCATAGAGCAGGGCCAAAGTCTTTATGAATTACAATCCATTCACCTTCTACAAACGTCCCTTCCTGCCCTTGAGTAACAATGACAGACCATTTCATGTGTCCACACCATTCATGAAGTCTTTTCACTCTGACTAATGTGGATCTACCTTCACCCTCACGTGGGCAATTTCCTTTTCCCACAGCAAATTTCCACTCATACTTAAAAGGCTGAACAGTTCAGTCTTCCCTGACCTTTCAGGGAGAGTCAGCCTCTCTGCCTAAGCCATGTGGGCACCACAACAGTTACACTCTGCTTCTCTAATAATGCCTGTAGCCCTGAACTCCAAGCACCACAGTCCATGCATAAAGTGTGCTTAAGAAATATTTTTGAATGAATTGCTTACTTTCTTGACTCATTCAAAACAAATTTACAAGTATTTCCAGGCATAAACATTAAAAAATAGCCATGACAGATTTTCAACTAATAATAGTTTTCACTTAACTCTTATAGTTTAAAATATGGTTCTTAAATAACTATGAATATTATGCAGAATAGTTTTTAATTCCTGCAGTAGTATACAAGGCCACTTGTGTAATTAAGCTCAGGTAACAATGAACTGGGGAGTTGATAACAATTTACTAATATAACTTGCCCACTTCCAAGCAAACATAGTACCTTTCTGGATTCACTTACTGTTTCAATCACGAAATAAAAAAGTACACTTAATATCTGTTTTTATATTATTAAATGAAATTATGTTCAAAGGAAACAAACTCATCTACCCTTCACGTGATGTGAGTATAAATAGGAACAAAATATAAATTGCCCTTTACCACTGTGCATGCAAGGTTCATTTCTACATAGAGCTGATAATTGAATGTGTATTATGAAACCACATTAACTTTATATGTTATATATGTTAATGTCATTAACATATACAGTTATTTATATATGTTATTTATGTCATATCTTTTTATTGTTTATATTTTTATATGTTAATAATATTAACATCTACAAAGTCCTTAGAGTTCCTTTAAGATGATAATTACTCCTAAATAATATTTTAAACTTGATGCTAATTAAAGCAAAATTTTTTCAAATACAGCCTAAGTTTATAGTAAATAAAATTGTTCCTACTTTTGCTTCTCTAAGTGCTGTAGACACTTTTGTGTATATATTTTTCCCAAAGTGTGCATCAAAAATGTGGGTAGAATTTTCCTTTGTGTACCAAATACCAAGTCAAGCATTGCTATTTTACAAGTAGCTACTTTTTTTATCTGTTCTGTGGACCTTTTTTCTAACATGTGACATTTCAATGAGAAAAGGAAAAATGCGTGACAGAGAAGACAGGAACTCGCCAGTGTCGCTTACTGGAACTTTCCCTGGAATTCCTCTTTGCTCAGCCATATTAGAGAGGACTTCTCTTTTGGGGAATTTATAAATGGCAAATTTCAGAACTATAAATACCTCTCATGTTTGTTTTCATACAGTTGTTTGGGTTTTGCTGTTAACTAAACAAAACAGTGAGGAAGCTGTGCATCACCAGTGAGTTAAACCTCGGGGTCTTGCAAGCTGAAGCTCACATGGGGATGATGTGTGATTTCTCCTTAGACAAACCTTTCCAAAGAACTTGGTTTGTTTTGTTTTTAATTCTAGAAAAGAAATGCTTCTTTTAAAATTTCACAGAGGCGGGGGAAGGAATGGAGGGGGCAGAGAGACAGAGACAGAGAGATAGAACATGTGTGAGATATAGACAGAACACAACATTTTGTTGTTTGAGTTCATTGTCAGTCTTTGCTTAGTAAAAACACAAGTGGCAGAATTCACTCCTAAATTAGCTGAAAACAAACAATTGGCTAATATTTTAAAGTGAGCAGGAAATAAACAAAAGTCTTTTGCTATCAGATGGGATATCCCAGGCCAATATTCTGAGAATTCCAAAGGGATTTTAGCTTGGGAAATGCTGCTCTACAAAATTATGTAGGTATTAAAGGTCTTCTCAGAGCATTCACTATGTGAATGTCTATTGTAAAACCACTTTACCTATTATAACAGGCAGAAGTTTCCAGACAAAGTCAGTTAATAACAAACTTTCTCCCTTTGCTGTGGGAGGGAAACACAGTCACTGGTCCATATACCTCTATAAACACAGCTAGTTCTTGATGAGCCTCGTTTCCTTATGCGTATCTCCACATGGCTTTGTGGAGAATTCACATTTCTCTTTTTTCACGTGTGGTATTTTTTAATGTGACACTTTCAGAGAGAAAGAAGTACCAACCTGAAGGCTTCGAGGTACTCAGCATCTCCCATAGGGGGGTCAAGGCCACCTGTCCAGGCAATGTTTATGTTGTAGCCTTCTCCCAGGCCTATTCCAACCTGGGAACAGAAAAACACACCGCTGTGGATAGAGAAGGGAGGAAAGGGAAGAAACAAAAAGTGGGAAACAAGCACATGGGAGCCCTTGCAACGAACATCAAACACGGCGTCAAATCAGCTCCGCTTGACAGCTAGCGCTCTGGGTTACGCACTTGTTCTGCACGGGTTCTTGGTCCTGTGGGACAAGTGGGTAATCTGGTGTAATTTAAAACACCAGCAAAGGACAAGAAAATTAGGGGTAATCACGCAACGCAATTACCTGCGAGATACAAGTAAAAGCAGGGCTCTAAAGAAATAAACCGAACCTCATTCGGGGCTCCGCTGCCGGGGAAAAAGTTCCCTTCATCATAGCGATGGAGTGAAATGTACAGGACGCTGGGGTCAGCATAAAAGGCCTGCTGTGTACCGTTTCCATGGTGAACATCCTACAGGGAAAAGAAAACAGATGACAAACACCGGCACATCTGACTCTGGAGACGGCTCTCCCCGTTTCTGGTTCCCCCTCTTCCTACCCCACCCTCTTCTCATTTTCTGTCTTTTCACTCGTCTTTCCCTTTCTCCCTTTCAGCCTACTTCTACACCACCCCTTTACTTCCTGAACTTTCGGGCAAATTACCCTTTAATGCTCTCATTTTTTTAAAAACTGGCTTCTAAAAACCAGGAAACCACAGCGAGCATGCCCTGGAGACTCCAGATGAGCAGTCACTGAGAAAGCCCAGTCCTTCGGTACAATTAGATATTTATACATCGGCGCTTTGTACTCTCTGCCTCAGTGATGGAATCCTGCATCCTGTTTTATAGAGGAATTTTATGACTTATTAACTGCCAACAGTTCATAACCCCTCAGGCTTAATTAACTAGCCTCATTGGCCTCTGGAAAAAAAAAAAAGACTAATGTTTAAACTACAAACTAGTCTTTTTCAGGAGGATCTATGGGTTACAGAGCATTTTCACAATTCTTGACAGAACACTAAACCTTACGTGTATGCCTTGATTTGCCAAGTCCCACCATTAAGGTCAAAGGCTTTGCAACCAGCTGAATAAATTGGCTTTCTTGAAGCATTCAGTTCAGTTAGCAACCCCTCAGCAGCTAGAGTCACTTCAAAAAGGATGCCAGATGGGAAAAGGACTTCACACTACATTTTGCTAAAATCACGACAACAGGAGTAGAAGCAACAGGGCCATGAGCTCGTTAACTGTTAAGTCATTTGGGCCAAGGCAGGAAGATGGCACGGGGAGTCACACAACCCAGTCCAGTCGTCTCATAGATACTGACTGTATCATGGCCTCGTCCCAGCTTCCTTCCTCGTCTTTCTGTCTTTCCCACACCTCTCCAACTTCCTGTCCGCCCCGCCCCCCTCAAAATCCTATTATCAATGAATGAGTAGATATTTTTTTGGACATTTGCAGATGATAATGATTCAAATTTTGATGGTTCTTCTACTTTTAATATAGATAAATGTCACAAATGACATTACTAATGGAAACAATAAAAGGAGTAACGTTTTTAAAATATCTTTATTAAAACAAATTCAGGTATTAAGGACTTCAGTTAATGCACTCAATACCTCCTGAGGAAAAAGAATGCTGACCTACATATTTTATGCAGAGAAGTATTATTGTTACATTATTCACTTACATAGTTATAAAGAGCTTTGTTACCTTGTAGCTATTTAAGTACATTGGGCTTTATTTTATATCAGTAAGATTTACACTGTTTTAAACAATGATTCCTACCTCTGTTAAGTGAACACACTATTAAACACCTTGGATTAATTAAAAATTATATAGGACACATGTTATATCTCTACTCTAAAAATAAGACAACTGATACTTAAAGAGTTTCCATAATTACTAAGAATCTCTAGACAGTAAGTACTTTGTGAAACTGGTTCTTGAATCCACTCATTACCGCCAATGCAAAGCTAAATTATAATCTTATTTTTCTAATACTTGTAGCAAGCTTATGAAGTGAATTTTTTTGGAAACTAATTATCCTCCTTGATGTTGACAGAACCTTTTTCTTCTCCAATCTCCAGCCCCCAATTCCACTAGACACTTCCAAAGCCTCCTTGATGCTGAAAACCTCCACTGAGCTTGCTATCCTTGGGTATACATATGGTAATCCCGCTGTGCTTTGCATATCACACTTAACCAAAAGAATCATACTACTCAGGCAGATAGATAAGAATCATCTCAGAAATTTGCTCTAGCCAAACACAAATGCATCAGAAAAAAATATATATAACTTGCTGAAAATATATTAATTACTAGATTTCTGAATATTCAAAAGAAAGGGAAAGATAGTAAAATTGTTTTTTATGTTAAAAAGGAAACAATTTAAGCCACAATGTATTTTATACTAGCTACTACTAATCTAGAATATGTTTAAAAAACAAACAAAACCAAAATAACTCTAAAGAAAACAACAGTAGGATCATCCCTGCTTCCCTCCAGGAGCAATAGTCAGGATTGTAAGACAAACTTTGTTCTGGATATAAGAGTCCAGAGGTGGAAAAGCAGAGAAAAACACTGCTTTGACTATTATTACTTCTTTAGTGACATTGGAAAAGTTTATTTAAGAAGAAGGGGGATGAAAAAGGACACTTTTTCCCTGGTACAAAGTCATCTGCTCTTCAAAACTGAGGTGCTTGTTAGTGCACACACTGTAAGAAATGCATCTTGTTCACAGCAAAAGAAAGAACAAACCTCGTATACATTATTTATAAAAATACACAAATTCATCCTAATCCTTGAGCAATGCTGGATTCTGTATTTATTTGCCAAGTCCTTAGAGATAACTATGGACACATGCAATCTGTGTGGGATAATGACTTAGAGTATAGGGTTGAGAGTGCCTTCTGATACTTAACTCCAGTCTCCATGTCACAAAACATTTAAACTAATGACTGTTCAGGAACTATCTGAACTTGCTTCTCCATGGCAACAAATATATATCAGACTAAGAAATAAACTTACTTGTGCCTATGAGACATTACCATAAAAATGTAATGAATTATCAAAGCCTTAAGATAGATATTGAATCTAAAATGTACTTAGAACTATGAAAAATGCATATCAATATTCTACTGGTTAAAGAATATACTATAAAAAGAGATTCATTATAATAATTTAGAACCTATATATTTTATTCTTATCTAAAAATGGCTTTGAATAAATCATTCATTCTGCCAGTTAATATTATCCTTCATAATTATTTATTACATGGAGACAAAGGTCTAAATATTTTTGATCAACAATGGAATTTCCTAAAATATAAGGATATTTGAAGTAACCTTTGTGTTATAAAGAAAAAAAAAAGAAGAACTTAAGGAGAATTGTGATCTTTCCAAATTGCCTTCTAGGTCACATTACCTAAAGTCTGTATGATTCAAGCAAGAAAGCCTACCCCATGGACGTGCTACTAACCAGAACACAATACTGTGCTCTTGCAAGTGGAAAGGCAAATAAACCTACTTCCTTTCCATAGTGATCAGCATATCAGAGAGAGAAAGAAAAGACTTCATAAATAATTGAAATCACACTTGCTTAACATGTAAAACACCTCTGAATTAGGCCCTAGCCCAAAGAGAAGGGGAGTTGCAACTATGGCTTTATATTTACTTCGATATAAAAATATCCAAACTAGCTATTAGACAATAGAGTAAGACTATTTTTAAGGGCCCCAGAGCCTCTGTGGCTAGTGAAGGGATGAAGATGTTTTCCCACTGAAGAATCTCCATCATTTCACTGTAACTTGCAGAGCAGACCTATGGGCCAGGGGGAATGGGTGTCTCCATATCTGGGGCCTGTGAAAACTTCCTTCTCAGTCGCTGGAAGAAACAGGAATTTCCTCAAAGTACCCTGCAACTGCATAGCTTGGAACACTAGAAAGTAAGAATGTTTGGGCTGGTGGTGAGCTCAGCGGCCACCCTCTGGACAGGACTTCATACACTGAGAGGATCTCAAACAAAAACTTCTCATCTGTGGGAGCCTGTTGGGAAAGGAGTATCCTTTATATGAATTGGATAATGAAGTAAATCACAATCAATCAAAGGTCAGCAGCTTATAGGAAACTGACTCTTAGAGCTACCAAGTTAATCAATTTACAAATCAAGTCAGATTATCTCTATAGTGAGATCCAAGGACTATACAGCTCAATAGATATCTATACAGTTAGAATAGCCTGTAATTCTAAAGAACACAGCTAACCAATCACCTTGCCCACCCCCAAAATTTCTGGATCTTCATTTGCCATTTTTTTTCTCCAAAATTTTGGGCTTATCTCTCTAACCTCATACTTACAAAAATACAAGAATACTGATTTTTAGAAATGTGCTATATTAAAATGCATGTAAATTATTAATTACTTAAAAGATCATTTTGAACGTATTTGAGAAAACAGGTATGATGTCTTCATTCACGCAAAGTTACAACAACTCTGCAGTGTTATATCTCTAGCCTTCAACACAGCCCGTTTAACAGTGAACTATGACCTACTTTGAAACGTAAACATGTTTGGAAAATACACGGAAAATTAGAATTCAACATTTTTCACATGAAAATGCCCTCAGAAAAGCCACAATATGAAAAATATCTATTGTAACCAAGCAATAGAAGTGTTTGTCAATCTTCCATTTTGTAAATTCTTCATTTTCATGTAACTATTTTACATGACTTTGTTAGTGGTCTCTCCACCACCCTTTGGGGGTGCCCACTTAACTAAATCTGAGGGCTGAAGTTTGATGTCATGACTTCCAATAAGATTTAATTATGAGTGCAGATATGAACAAGATTTAAACTATTAAGTCTTGCACTTCAAAAAAACCTCTAGCATTTTTTTGCCTTTAAATCTTTTATCACCTGCAAAAATTAATTAAGTGCAGATGCAGCAGGTTTGGCTTGGATGCCAGGGTTCATTTCCTGTCTATGCTTTGTCAGACAACCTATTACACCTCCTGGTGAAGTGCAGGCAAACTGGAAAGGAGGCTCATAAATCACCATTGGCTTTCCCTCGCCCTTTCCTGGGTTGGTCCTTTCTGGATGGGGCAGATCTCCAGCTCATTATTCATGAATACATTTTAGACAACCTGCCAAGTGTCATCTGCATTTAAACGAACCATTTGTTAAACAAATTATAACTATTGTGTAAGAATGCTTCGTGCTAAAATGCAAGATCAATCAATGCTTCTGACCTTTAATCACTCAGGGTTCCTGCAGGGAGTCATCCCAAACTGGCATCTGAGACCTGAGATCTTTTCACAAAGAATGACATGTTGACTTGTTTTAGTAATACCAGTGTTGCACAACAAGGGACACGATTGCTAACCAGGGGAAGTGGCCAATTGGTTACCAAGGCAACAGCACTCCTTCCAGCACATCTGACTATTTAAAGTCTATATTCTGTAGGGAAAAGTAAATTCAGGTTCTGTTGGGTCATTTTAACTGTGGAAGTATCAATTCATTTAAGGATCATAAAAGTTGCCCTGATCTGCGCCTTCTTCTCATTAAATTGCAGTTAACACCATGAAAGTGAAACGTGAATGTTTATGGTTTCAGAACTGCAATCCTGAGTTTAATGAGTTTCCACATTCAAAGGAAACACACCCTTCAGTTGTTTGCAAGTGCTAAAAGCAAGACAACCTTACAGAGAAACACGCATCCACTCCCTTTTATCTAGAGTGACTGAAAATGCAGCCCTGGCCAGGAATACATACCAGATCTACAATCAATATCTTGCTTATATTTAGTTGGTCTCTCAAGTATCTGGCGGTAATTGCAACTGAATTAAAAAAGCAGAACCCCCTGCGGAATAGAGAAGAACAGAGAAATAAGAAGGCAAATCATCCAGGAAAACCATTATAAATAATGTTCAGAGCATTTTTTTTTAATGCTATATGATCTCTGAAGCCATAAATCTGCTTCTGGGAGTACCTCTCGAGAGTTTTCGGTCCATCTGTTAACAATCAGAGGCTTCAAAAACATGCCCAGGGCAGGTGACTGCCAGGAACCATGGCACTTGAAGATGGCAGTGGGTCCTGGTACTTACATGGCTGCAGATTCTTCAGCATGATGGCCTGGGGGCCTCACAACAGCAAACCCATTCTGGAAGCACAAGACAGGTTTTCAATAGCAGGGATAATGACACTGATTAGGTCTCTGCAGCTTACACAGCATCACAGACACACAAAGAAGACTGATGTCTCTTAGACACACCCAAGCTTGTCTCCTTACCCTTATCACCATGTGACAGAGTCAACTGAGACAACATTTAGGATCACATTTGCTCAGATCCTGTCTCAAACAGACCCACACTGAGCCAGAAGAACAGACAGTTGGGAGTTATATGTAACTGGCAGACAATCATCTCAACTCTTAGACTCACACAACTCATTTGCAAAAACAACCTCTTATTTTCTAACATCAACATCCTACAGAGAGAAAAATTCAGTCTTGGTGCAGGTTTGGGTCAAAGTTTGGAAAGATGGGGGAAGATCCAAAGGGAAAATTCCTGACCTGGGTCCCCTCGATGGTTATTTCCACTCCAGTGTCAGCAAAATGATAAATTTACACTTGCACACGCACATAGACACAAAAGAAACCCCAGAAAGGTGAAAAAGAGAACAATGGAAAGCCCATATTTCTTCCAGTCTATAAATTTAGCTTGGATGACTGCCAAGGCTTGTGAGTTTATTGGATTCCCTAAGTCAATTTCTAGCCCAAGTTCTGGAATTTTATAAAGAATTCCAGAGCTGAGCAGCAGTTAGATATAGCTATGATCAAGAAATGCCTTAACCTCCAGGTTAGCGGAAATGCATCACAGAAAGCTGAAGAGACTCCAGCATGAGGGCAGGAGCTATAAATCCTTGGAAAGCCATGCGCTTAGGAATGATGGTTTGTCTGATACAAAAAAAAATCGTTTATCACACAGTTCACACCACTTTTCACTTAACTATGATTCAAGGAGCATGATCCAAAAAGAATATTTCCTTAACACACAGTCCATAACTTCTGAAATAATTTTAATATGCCTCAATAACTTTCCTTCTAAATCTTTACCTGAAATCATAAAGGTATCAAAACATCATCCTATCTTGACCTTCATGCATATGATCACTCTTTGTTATGATAATTTATATTCGATGGGTAAATTTACTATATATTTGGTGAGTGCATATAATAATGATTTTAGAGACGAATTAGAAATTGCAATCATTTAAAGGTATCTTTCTGTGATTGGAAATGCCACCCTCAGTACAACTTTATCATGAAGTGGGACCTTAACATGGCAACTTTTTCATGAGGGCTTTTTCCTCGTGTGCAGATTCATGCTGTAGTTGAGGAGTGGGTTAGAGATTCACAGAGTGAGTTGCTGATAAAAAGGATCAGTTAGAATGATTTTTCCCTCTCTCTTGCCTTTTCCTTATGTTGTGACTGAGAATTACAAGGTGACCATGTGCGAGCAAGGTTGCATGGCCTTGTATTATTTATGTATTCATCTATAGTATTTGTTATGGCAGCAGAAAATGGACTAAGAAGCTAAATTATATTTCACTAATTAAATTCTAGGGATGATGATAAACTCATCTCCCTCCCTTTTCCTTAAATCACTCATACTTTCTCCAGCCTTTATTATAGAAAAAGAAACTGTTAATGAATAATACAAAGTAATAAACACTGAAATTTTAAGATTAGTGGAGAATTCTGAAGAGATCATGATAAACTCAAGAAAAATCACTGAATAAAGAAATGAAGATAAGGCATGGTAAACATAACCCACGTGCACAGCGCCCTCCACAGGCACTGTTTGAACTGTTTGAATGCCTCCGTCCCTCTTCCAGCCAAACTTCTGAACAAGGTTCGCCCTTCGCTTTATTTCTGCAGTAACTACCACCACTCTTTTGCCAGTTCAATAAAAACTGCTTCGTGAGTAAAGGGCATATTTACATAGTACAAAGAAAAAAACAGCCGATGACCAATATGTACTGAACATTATTATTAATCAAATAAAAACAGATGGAAGGCCCAGTGGTAAGCCATGTGTTGCCATTTCCATTGTATGCTATAAAGGAGTTTTGCATTCATATGATGCTTGTAGAAGATGGACATAAACCTTCTGTAAAATAACCTTCCTGCATCTATGTAGAACTTTTGGAAAGCATCTACACTCTGTATTATTAGAGTGCTCTCCCGACACAGCTTTAACTGTGTCTACAAGCTACTGTGTAAAAGGTCATATTTAATTTACAATGATAAAAACTGCCAATTACCTAAATAATAAGCTAACTCTATAAAATGATAAATAAATTATGGCTCAGTTAGCCATGCGATATTAATATTGGCTACCTACTTTGAAGATTCACTTGGATACCTTAAGGGCACTTCTAGTCATTTATTCAGACATCAATCTACTGATTTCCCAATCTCCTTCACATGGCAATGACACATGGTCCCTCCATTAGCTTAAGTCAGAGGCCAATGAATTCTCTCTCCTGGCTCCTTCTCCATCCTTCCTCCATTTCAGTTAAGTTCACGGCCAATTGCTGAAGGTATCATTTTGAAAAATGACTCAAATTTATTCTCTTCATCTTATGTCCAGTCCGTTTGTTTTGCTGTGTTATGTTGCAGGACCTTGCACACGGGCAACAAGCACTTTTGCAAGAAGCCGTACACTCAGCCCTTCCTTCAGGCTTTGCCTTTGTAGGAGTTAAATTGCAGTATTCATACAATGCATTCAGTATCCTGATCTCTCCACTTTCTGATGCTTGCCGTCAGTAAATTTGTATTGTGTTTACACTCTTCATTTTAGACTGTCATGAGGGACTGACCGCATCAACTTCATGATTTCTATGAGAAGTAAGCATCTACTTGCCCAGATGAACCTTGACCTCATCTCTCATTTCTAGTTCATTGACCTTATTTAATTTTGCAGCTCAGAATTTATCAACTGCCATGATTGGTTTCCTCTTTTTTTTTTTTTTTTTTTTTTTTTTTTTTGTGTCAACTTGACACAGCCAGAGTCACCTG